AGTGGCACATTGTTTTGCCTTCTGTAACTTTAAAATCAGCTACTGTCATGGTTATGTCTGTCCCTATGTCCTTTCCATGTGCATTTTAAGATCAGTTTATCCATATACACAAAACATGCTGCTGGGAGTTTGATCAAAATTGCTTGGGAGCTGTAGATGATTTTGATGCGAGCTGCTGTGGAGCTCTAGGTTCTAACCAACTAAGTTCACAGAGCACAGTATGAACTAAAATTGCGTATAGGAGGGTTGGAGTGATGGCTTAGCCGACTTAGAGTATTTTCCACTCCTGTAGAGTATCTGTGTTGGGTTCTAGTATTCACAAGGCAGCTCACAGTGGTCTGTAACTCCAATTCCAGGGGAATCTGACACCCTCTTCTGGCTTTGGGGAGAAACAGGTACTCCATGCTATACACACATACATGCAGGCACACACTCATACACATAAAACAAAACGTCTCATAAAAACTGCCTGCAGAGGAAATGTGATAGTAGTAGTTGCTCTTTTGTGGTTTTCTTTTACCAGGTGGCCAGTCAGGTGTAGCTAAAGAGGAGATAGAAGAGAGGCCGGAGAACAAGGTTTATTTCGTTTGGAAGGATCTAGTTTGGAAGGGGCACATGGAAAAGACATCAAGATGAAGTGGTCAAGAAGAAGAACATTTAGGCCACTGACCTTGAGTAGTCTTTGGGAAGGCAAGACAAGGCAGAGCTGGGTAAAGGGTTCAGGGCTGACTAGTTTGACTTCTTTCTATGTGCTCTAACTGAGGGGTGGATTTGAGTTGTATGGCACCTGATCCTGGGATGGCTGAAGTGGAGAAGTGTACTCAGATGAAGGGCGACTATGGACTGATTAGTTTACATACCAAAGATTTGCCCACAACTGAGCCCTTCTTTCTTTAGGACTAAGTCTCCAGAAAGGACATACTTTCCCTAGTCAGAAAGGTTATGGGGATGGGGCTGGAGAGATGGCTCAGAGGTTAAGAGCATTGCCTGTTCTTCCAAAGGTCCTGAGTTCAATTCCCAGCAACCACATGGTGGCTCACAACCATCTGTAATGGGGTCTGGTGCCCTCTTCCGGCCTGCAGGCATATACACAGAAAGAATATTGTATACATAATAAATAAATAAAAAAAGAAAGGTTATGGGGAGTACATGCTTGAGTGTGTGTGTGCATGCATGAGTGTGTGAGTGCCTGCATGTGTTTGTGTGTGCAAGCACTTGGGATAGAACCCAGGGCTGTACACATGAAACATATGAAGCAAGTGATCTTTCCTCTGTCCTTCTTCTCTGTCACACACACAAATAATTAAAATATTTTAAAAAAGACCTCAGTCTTTCCAGATTATAATACAAATAGTGACTAGTTATGCAGGACATACGTAACACTCATGCCATGTGTGAAGATGGGTAATAACTTGTTATACAGGCTACATGTGATGCTCATGCCATGCATGAAGATGAGTACAGTGGCAAAAATGGGTTTGAAACTTATGACCCACGTGATCTTGGGCAAGTCAATTATTTGGAGTTTTTGTTTTCTCCGTTATGCAATGAAGAAGATAATGATTATTATAATGAAACCTAGGTAAGCTGAGTGTGGTGGTGTATACCTTTAATCTCAGCACTCCAGAAGAAGAGGCAGATGGATCTCTGTGAGTACAAGGCCAGTCTGGTCTACATAGTTCCAGGACAGCCAGAGCTACATAGTAAGACCTTGTCTCGAAACAAATAACTAAAACAAAACAAAATAAGAACCCAGGAGGATTGAATTAGCTATCTTTGAATACTTAGCCCAGTGATTTACAAATGTTCAATATTTTTGTAATTATTTATGGTAAAGTCCTTTTTATGTATTAAATATTATTCACTTTACACTCGCCACACACCTTGTATAACTGAGTTTTGAGAACTTTTTTTTCTTTTTTTGAGACAGGGTTTCTCTGTTAAAGTCCTAGATCAGGCTGGCTTCAAACTCACAGAGATCCACCAGTCTCTGCCTCCGAAGTGCTGGGATTAAAGGCTTGTGCCACCACTGCCCGGCAAATTTTGAGAACTTCTAACAAGACTTGCCTTTATATGGAATTTTTGGATCTTGATACTAATTTTGTCACTGACCTAGTATCACTTGATGTTATATTTATCATTGATTTTCCATGGGCCCTTGGAATCTGTTCTATCATCCCTAAGATGTAACTTTGGATACCCAAATGTCTAACTGGCCTTGCATGAATGTCAACTTTCCTTTGAGGTTAGTGACAAAGGCTGGCACCAGATTCTAGTGGTACATGGATCATCGATGTGACTTTGGCAAAGCCTGGCGCCAGATTCTAGTGGTACATGGATTATCGATGTGACTTTTCTATTCCCAGCATGAATCTACACTGTGGCTATGATAGGGCCAAGTGGCAATGTTAGGCCAGAGTCAACCTTACTCAAGATGTAAAATCAGTTTTCCAGAGTGCAGAGTGTCTTGGTGGTTTTTCTGGAAACTTGACTGGTAAATTTACCTCAGCCTGAGGAAAATGGCGTGGCATTTGTTTGGTCTGCCTACTTGCACTAACCTGCATGATGAGAGAGTCTCTCACCCTAAAACCACTCTCAATGTCATGTTGAACATAGGGCAGATGATGCAGAAGGTAGAGACATGCCCAAAATCAAAGGAAGGGCAGAAGCATTTTTCCGTATTCTCCAAGGTCATATTTGGAAGAAAGGGAGGCACTGATATAAGGTAGTGATAAATGCTGGAAATTTGAAGTGTGATGTCAAGTAGATGTGGGTGAGTCTTGGCATTCAGCATGTTACCTTACTTTCCTGAATGAACTTTGTTTCCACAATAAAATGATGAAAAAGTCAGAGTGCCTGTTTAGAAATTTGCTACCAGAACTAGGTGAGAGGTTCATACAAAGCAATTAATGTGATACTTTCCTAAAGTGTATTAAGTGAACATCATGATCGTTGAGGCCTTGGTGACAAAGAACAGTAGGAGGAAACAGATTAGCAGGGATGAAAAGCAGTCAGTCTCAGGACTTTGTGCCATCCTATGGGGCTGCGCTTGAACATTTCTTGGTTGTCAGGCCACTTTTGTGAGCGACAAGAGGAGCGCCAAATGTCTAGGTGCAGGCATGTTCAAACTTTTGATGCCGGGACACAACATTGTCGTCTACAAAGTTCTCCTTTGAATACAATAGCAAAAGTCCCAGCATTGTGTTTTACGTTCATGACTGCTCGTTGGCCCACATTCCTAGTTATACTGGGCATGTGCAGCCCATGGTCCAAAGTTGGCCACACCTAGTAGGGTTCCCCTTCAAGATAGCCTGTTGTCCTAGGACTAGAATGTGTGTGTCGGGGCGGAGAGCGGGGCTCAGAGGTAATCTAGCCTCTTGTTCAGTTGTGTCTTCCTCAGTTTGTGCAGAGACACAGGTCAGTGATGGTTGGCCATGAGCATCCAATCAGCTTTTCTTCAGGAGGAACAAACTCATATTTTTGCCTCTTTCTCAAGAACCATTTGCCACGAATGGTGAAGAAAGCTAGCTGCTTCAATCCCTTCTCAGAACCTCCCAAGAAGGTTTATTCTTGGGTTCTTTGTTCTTGACATAGGAAGTATGGATAGTATGCATTTTATTTTCTTCTTCTTCTTCTTCTTCTTCTTCTTCTTCTTCTTCTTCTTCTTATTATTATTATTATCATTATTATTATTATTTTTATTATTATTATTACTGTTTTTTGAGACAGGGTTTTTCTGTAGCTTTGGAGCCTGTCCTGGAACTCACTCTGTAGACCAGGCTGGCCTCGAACTCACAGAGATCCACCTGTCTCTGCCTCATGAGTGCTGGGATTAAAGGCGTGCGCCACCACCACCTGGCAGTAGTATTCATTCACCAAGTCTGGTATTGAGACCTAGAAACACTATCATTACTTGATGTTCCTCTTCTCTTGGTCCCTTCCTCCCCCCTCTTCTGTAATGCTGTAATGTAGGCTAATCCAGGACTCGACCACCAAGCTAAGGTCCTAGCACTGATAGCCTTTAAGTGACAGAATCCCTTATATAAAATAGATGAGAGATAGCCTGAAGGTTTTTTTTGTTTGCCCTCCTCACCTCCTGCAGCAGCTACTAAGTGCATTGCTAACAGCAAGGAAACAGTTTGCACCAATACCACAGCCAATCCTGTTAGTTTCTTTTTCTGTGGTTGTGTTAAAATACAGTGACAAAAGGACCTTATGGGAGAAAGGGTTTATTTTGTTCCCAATTCCATGTTCTAGACCCTTGGTGTCAGGATGTCAAGGCTGCAGGTGCCTGAGAGAATTGCTCACATTACATCCGCAGCCAATAGCAAAGAGCAATAAGTTAATACATGCAGCTCAGTTTCCATCTCTGTTTTACACAGTCTAGGATCCCAGGCCAGGGAATGGACCTGCTCAGTCATGGTGGGTCTTTCTGTCCCAGCTAACCCAAGTTTAATAGTCCATTACAGACATTCTCAAGTTAACGTTAACCCAGAGATTTCTTCACAAGTGTTCCTGGGAGCTTGCCTCCTAGATGTCACATTGATGTCACAGACCCTCATAGACAGCTCTCTAGCTTGCACCAACGCTTTCTGTCCAGATCTTTGGTGGAAAGGCTGACCATCGCTCAGTAAACAAGCAGTCGCCTTCTAATAAACAGGCTGCTATAGTAACAACAAGTGCTTAACCGCTGTGCTTCCCCTTTTCAAACAAATGCTGCAGCAGTTAGAGCCGTTAGGTGGGGCTGACAGAATATTTAGGAAGCAGACCTTGGAATGTAGTGAACGGTTGGAACCAACACATGTTCAGGAAGAGTTTGGGGATTTGGAGGTAGTATGTGTTTCAGGTAATAAACACAAAATATACTGATTTTCATCTGCTTTGCATTTGGATGAGCTCTGGGCCTGCTTTACACAGAGGGATACTTCTTACACATGTCCTAGCTCAACCTCAAACATTTTCTTCTCTCTCGTGACCCACTTGTCTTCTTTCGCCTACAGGTTACAGATGCACATGCTGAATGGAGCTCTTCTGGCGTTGTTGTTTCCTGTGGTAAATACGCGGCTGGTAAGTTGTCTCTCCTAAGAATGAATCAGCAACATCTGAGTCAAGATAACTTCTTTGCTACCCATTGTTTCTCCTGAATCTTTGCCCTTATGGCCACATGATTTGAAGTTGTGAATATCTGTTGATGTTTGCCACAGTCATGTCTATAGTTAGTGGAGGCTTTGTGGAGCAGGAGTACTATGTTAGATTTGTGCTACAGCATGGGTTTAGATCAGAAGTAGAAAAACCAAAACTTTATATAGAAATTGGAGAGGTTCTATGGAAGTAAATGGGTCTAAGTCTTCACTTTTAGGCTGAGACTTGTAGATGTTTTAAGAGGTGCAATGATGTAGACTAACATGCCAGGGAGCCTCAAAACTTGTCTGTTTTACTGGAGACCCTCTTGAGTAAGCAGATTTCTTCTCCATCCACTCAAATCAACAGGGTAGAATGGATCGCTTTCTCCACCTCCCCCTTCAGGAGATGGAGGAGCCAAAAGGCTGGGGAATAGTATACTGTCTAGACTCCTACATGTGGGGCTCCTGAAGTTAGTGAGACACTCATTGAAAGTCCAGGGGACGATTATTTTTAAACATGGCTAATATAGCTTTTTGCTTTCACGACTTAAGTTTGTCTTTCTAATGAACATTATAGTGTTATCCTTGAAATGGAAATTCCTCTTGTGGATAAAATTTCATAGCGTACAAGGTCTTTTGCTATGCTAGGCTGTTTTTGAGGTAGGTACATAGGACAGCTATTACAGCCTCTTGCTTCATAGAGGAAGAAACTGATACTCAGGATGTCACCTGAATTGTGACAGTTAGGACCAGAGTCTGAGCCTCTCAGTCCTAATGACAGACTGCATGCTGTTCCTTCTACATCATGTAATCATCTTCGCTCCACAGATGCTCCTCAGTACTGTAGGTTGTGCTGGTCTAGATTTATATCACATAGCAGTAGAAATTAAAAGTCAAAGTTCATATAAAGCAATGAATTTTGAACCTTCTCACTAGGCTCCAGACTCATCAGATTATTAGCTGGGTTATGGATTTAGCTCAGTGCTAGAAGGTCTGCCTAGTCTATTCAAGGGCCTGGTTCCCACCCCTAGCACTAAGAAACAAAGAAGCAAATAAAGAGGCTAACCAGGTCCCACAGGCAGAGAAACTGGTTGGGGGGGCAGTAGCAAACAGACCCCCAAGTGATATCAAAACAGGGCTCCTCAGACTGTTCCCAGAGAACCCATGTGTTAGGGACTTCTAATTCAGTTACTCTAAGTGTATAATTTGAAGTGTGGCCTGAAATTAAGCATCAACTGGGTGTCGTTTATTAGAAATGTGGGGGTTCAGGTCCCACCACAGATTCCTTGTTTCTGAATCTACTGAGATGGTACCCTAGATGACCTAGATCCTTTCCTTCCAGGAGCCCTTAAGCACCTTTTATGTGGACCATTTGGGGTGATGTGAAATGAAAGATGGCAGGCAGTATTGTTCCTCATTTAATATACAGGGTTCATTCTGATCAGTGTTCCCTTATGAGATGGCATGGGCAGAAACAGGTTGCATCAGAGGTACAGTTGCTCTCAATTCTATGTCCCACATAATATAATTTTCCTGAATTGGCCTGCTAAATTGTAGAATCTGAACTCATGCCTTGGGACTCCATGGGAGAGCATGTACTTCTGGTGTACAAGACCCTGGATTCTTTCCCCAGTACCAAACAAACAACCACAGTAAAATACCTCTCCCTTGGTCCTCAGAACAGAGGGCATAATGTATCACAGAACGGCATGGATAACCCACATTAACAGAATAAACTTGTACTTGCTGACTTTGTACCCCATTGCTCTTCACCTCCTGTGGCCCAGGGATGTGAAGCAGAAGTTGCTGTCTGCCTGTGGTAGGAACAGCTAAGGCTTAGGAAAGTGCCCACTGCTTTCTTGTGCCGTCTCCCTCCTCACCTGAGTCTATCTCCCAGGAGACGGAGAGGCCAGGTGACCCTAGAGCTGCTGTCTTACTATTCCTCAGCTTTCTCAGCTACCAGGCCCAGTACAGGGGGTGAAGATACCTCAGAAAATCATTCCCTGGATTAATGGAGCCAGTGATTCTGAGTTTGAAGGTGCCCCCCCGCCGAGCTCTTGCTAAACAGCTTGGGCCACTTGCCTTTCTGTTCCCAGTGAAAACCTTGTAGAATCCTGAGTGCCAGACAGAAGTTCAGACTACCATTGAGAAAGGTGGAGAATGGAAGTTCCAAGGGGCTTGGTCACACACCTGAGGGCATCTAGGATGCTGGTGGCGAGGTGTTCATTGAGACAGTCTTGTTAACTGCAATTGGGTGTCTCACCAGGTCTCCGGATGTTGTCCTCAGCTTGTTATCAGTAGCTACGGGTGCAGCAACCTCAGCTGCCCCTTCCTGAGGGCCTATTTTGTGCCAGGTGCTGCTGTAACTGTTTTGCACGAGTGGATTTAGTTAGTCTTTTCAGCTTCCGAGGCTGTGTTCAGTTATCATCTTCAAGGCCAACATGCCATCAGGATTGGCTTCTTTAGGCCTCTTTCTTGGGCTTGAAGGTGGCAGCCATCATATGCTTGGCTCATGATTTCTTGTGGCTAATTATTCATGGAGACATCTATCATGTTGGATCAGTACACATTCTAATAGCCTACTTTTACCTTAATCTCTTCTTTAAATTCTTGTCTCCAAATATACTCACATTCTGATATACGGGGTTAGGATTTTGACATATAAATAGGGGGTTGCAGAGGACCTTCAATACACCGATAACCTTGTTTCTTCTCTGCCCCCTTGATGTTTTTTCCTATCCCTGACTTCTTTCCTCCATCCCTTTTCCCCTCTCCTCCTTTCTCCTTTTCTCTCTTTGCCCTCCCCCCATCTCTTTTCTTTTCTTTCCCTTGTCATGGCATGGATCAGCTACTACAGTACACAGTGCTTTCTCAATAAATGTCAAGGTAGAATTGTGTATTACTTTGTCACTGAAATTTCTTAAGACATGAGTCTAGTCACCCTAGTAAATCTTTACCCTCCCCCATTCTAAAATAAAGCTGACCAAAGCTCACATCTCCTGCATTTGTCTGTGAAATTGGTATTGACCTGACTCTTTCATGTAGTCAGGGCTTCTCTTGAGCAACTTTGGCCTTTAGGCAGCCAATTTTGCAGTGGTCAAGTTCAGATAGTCTTCAAATGAGACACAGGGAGGCTCGCTCTTCTAGCTGAAGCCTGATGATGATCCAATTAAGCAACTTTGACTTCTCTTTTGCCTTTCCTTCTTGGCCCTTTGTCTTTTAGCAATGATGAGGAAGCAAGAAAAAGGACTAATTAGTGGTGTGCCCATCCTACAACATGCGGACACTTGCATGCCCGAAAACAGGGTGAGAGGGAAGTGGAGGAGGTCACCACGGTCTGCTGAAGGATTTGAGGTCATCAGTGACTTTCTGTGGAACTTTTCTGCCCTGCAGCTGATTGCCAGCAGGGTCTGCAGATCTAGAAAATGCCCCACCTTCAATCCTATGGGTTTCTCCATCTTTAAAGCTAACACCCTAGAGGACGGACCTCTATTTCAATGGACCAAGTTCCAAGTAAATAAGTGCCCCTTATAGCTAGGATCTAGCTTGAGATGAAGCATCTTCAAGGCAGTTTGCAGCGTTGTGTCCTTTTGCTTCTTGAAGGCGAGCAGAGGAAGTTCATCATGAACCACTGGTTAGATTAGTCAGGTGCTCAGAGCTTGTATGATTTGATCTTATCTTCTAGTAGGGAGATGCCCTCCCTTCCTTCCTCCCTCCCTTCCTCCCTCTCTGTCTCCCTCCGTCTCTCTCCCTCTCTTCTTGCTATCCCATGCTTCTTTATTTAAGAACAAAATGATGAATGATTAACTCATAATCAATGGTATTACTGAACTTCCTGTTCCCTTTAACTACCCCCCAACAGTTCCTGTCCCCCCTGCCCTTTTGTGCTTCCAATCCCTTCTCAGTAACTGAAGAATTTATTAATCCCCAAACTGTGGTGGCAAAGGCTCCAGGTTCTCTTTATCTACCTCTTCTGTTTCCCTCAGCTTCCTGCATTCATGGGCAGGGCTAATGGTTCAGTTTGAATGTATTGGAGAGCCTAGGGCAGTGAAAGGAATAGAGGAAAATGCTTCATCCTTGAGAAAAGGGATCTGAGAGTAGAGCCTGGTGAAGTGGGTGCCCCCATGCCTGGAGCACCAAAACTGGGCCCTGAGGACAGAAGAAAAGATTGAGGCCTCCCTGGGAAAGGAGACCTGAAGCCTCATACTCTACTCATTGGAAATAGTCAATGCTTGACTGCTCGCCTGGCAATTACAGAAGCACAGACAGACTATAGCCTTCTCTAGTCTAAGCTGCTTGGCAATGCCACTGATCACTGATCCTCTGCAGGGTGGGTTTGGGGAATACAGGAACATGTTCTCCAGGTTCCTTTTTATGTGGTCCTCGATGCTCCAAGTTTCTCTGATGGGCCTACATCAGGGTCTCCACTTTGTACATCTCCTGAAGGTTCTCATTGGTGTTGACTTCCTCCCCCACATCTCTCCAGCAGCCCCATAGCTTACACGTGTTCTTGAAACTAGCTGCAGGGACTCAAAATGGCAGATGGTCATCTGGCTGAGCTTTTCCAAAGAGAATGCCCAGGTGAGCCCCACATCAGCCTGGGTATACCGTAAGGTCATCCTCTTCCACTTTAGCAGCTTGACAAGCTGTTCTGGTTCTTTCTGCAGGACTTTCATGTTCTTGGACTTCTTGGTACTTAACTTTACTCTCTCCTTCTCTACCTTCATGGCACTGGGGTGGACAGATAGTATAGGACTCAGGGAAGCTCCTTTCAAGTTGCCTGCCTACCTCAGGCTGCAAGGTCTTCAGGCTAACTTGGGGCATTAGGCCCACTCCAACCTGAGACCCACAGTGTGCCATCCCTCTGCAGAATTCATACACTGGGGGACATGGAGACATGGGGGAGATCCCCATATTGCCAAGCTTGGCCAAACCCCTGGTCTG